GTAATACATACATAAAGTGTATAGTTCTGATATGAAATTATGTTGATAAACAAGCTATTGCTTCTATATTAGACACAAGAGGCCAAATGAATTAATCTTGTGCCATGGTTTACAAGTAAAACTAGATGTATGCACAAAAACAGTTTTGTTTTTTTCATCTGGTTTATAGAATAGAATAGACCTTTATTGTTGTTGCACCTAAATACAATGAAATGTGGGTTTGTTTCCATGAGCAAAAGTAAAAACTGTTTTATTTTTCTTCTTGTGGCTGCTCCCTTCTTCAGAGGGCGACACAGCGAACAGTTGCGCACAAAGACTTGGCAATTGTTTTTAAGCCGGATGCCCTTCCTGATGCAACCACACACCACTGAGCTACCACAGCCCTCTGTGTGGAGCAGAGAGCTGCTATCTAGGGTGTCTGGGGGAGCAGATGGTGGGGGTTAAGGGCCTAATATCCTCAAGGGCACAGAGTGTGCAAATTAGGGTGGAGGAAGGTGTGGGTGTTTCACCTATCCCACCCACATTTTGATGTTATTGGTATGGGGAGTCGAACCTCTGTGCCACCACTCCCCATATAAAAACAGCATATCTTAAAAAAAAAATATATATATATATATATATATATATGTGTGTGTGTATGTGTATGTACTGTATATATATATATATATACAGCTGTATGTGTGTGTGTGTGTTTGTGTGTATAGATAGATATATCTATATAGATATAATTTTAGATTATTATAGTCATATATACTAAATAGATTTCCATTATCATCTAATACTTACAAATACAAATCAGATTACCCCCCCCCCCACACACACACACACACATACACACACACACACTTTTCTTTATGTAAAAATCTCAAAAAGTGCCAGATATAATAAAAGTAAAAAATAAATGAATAAATAAAAATCAAGAATCTCAAAAACTACAAACATTCACTATTCAAATCTCTCAGCAAAGACAGGCATGGGTGTTCTGCTTGTTTCAGATTAGAAAACTCTGCACATCACTGTGAAACATGATTCTGTTAGAGAACAAGGAGAAGAACATTGTTCATATTAAATGATGTTGGATAATAGATCAAAGTGTAAACCTATCAAAAGATTATTGTTTTCAAAACTATCTGTATCACAATGTTCAGCTTCTTTCAAGCTGCAGAATGGTACATTGTTACACTCATACTGTAATCAAATAAAGCAGAATTAATAATAATGGAATTGGCTGTGAAGCAACATGTTAGGAACCAACCCCCCGCAAAAAATCTGAATAAAAATTATCTTTAGTTTGTATACAATTACACAGATTATGGCTTCAATGTAACAGCTACACTGATATTGCCTGAAGACCTATTTAAATGTCTCATACAAGCAATAAATGTTTGATTTTACTGTCCAACACTGGGGGATAAAGATGGTATTGAATAAAATAAATGGTTGTTGCAAATTGTAGATGGTTTTCTAAATTATTGTTCACGTCTTCTGTTGTGGAGTTCCTCTGTTTGGATCTGCTCATACTCTGCAGTGAAAACACACCTGCTGCACGTAGCTCCAGTGTTATTGTAAATCTGTGAGTACGGTTTACTCAACTGAGGGTGACAGATGTCCCCGACGTCTCTTTTTATTTTTTCCACACCTGACCCTTATTGGGCTCCTTAGTTAGCTATAAATGGGTGGTGACATTTCCCTAATAAATCATTTGGTTATGAAAAGATTGTTTGTGTCACAACTAAATAGACCTCTTCAGCTGTCTTCCAGATTTAAAAGAATAGCGAAAAACAAGTGTAGTTACCACTACAAAGAAGCTCAGCTGTAAATTAAAAATGAGCATGCATTTTAATTGGAGATCATTGTGCTGGACAAAAAAAAAAAAAAAAAAATACAAGTGTAAAAAATGTATCAAAGATCAGCTTTGAACTTTCAAAAATGGGAATTTCTCATAGGTAAAAGAGTCAAAGCACACATCGGCAACCAGGCTGCAAGAAGAGTAGCCTGGCAACCTCAGCTTCACCTGCAACACATAATCATTTAGCCATTATATTGAGCCAAACAGCCTTGAATGAGAATGATCCTGAGCAAGACACAGCTGCAGAGATGGAGCATGGTGGGTGATTTCTTAAACAACCTAACATGGTGTCTGAGCCAAATGTTATTTTTAGCCAGAAAAGCTGAAGGATATCTGTCGTCCTAATACAGCCTAAATCACAGAATTTAATCTTACCAGAGAATTGGTCTTATTCTCATTTATTCCACTTTACTATATTAGATGGAACTTGATTCACAAATGTGAGTGCATTATTGAAAAAGGATCATCATTGCAATATAAGAACATCTTTATTATCGCAAATGATTGCTGGGACTGCACTAAAGTTGAGACCGTCATATTTCAGGGCCCTTATATTCATGTTCTACGTGCTAATAATATATCTGGTCAATCCAACAGACCCTTACTGGTCTTGATGCCCACACCTGGTATAGATGAAAATGATGGCACAAGATAAAGTGAGTGAGGAAAATGTGGGTTTATTGCAATCAGTATTTTCATTTCCATAAACAAAAACAATATTATTGTTTATAGATGTGTATGTGTATAGATGGTTTGAGAGAGGAGTAAAGGAGGCCATCTTTGTGAAAAGGAAACCGTCCATCATTAAACAGGGGTGGAGGCCTCCACGTTCAACTGTCCCCCTCTTACAATGCTGTGATTGCTAGTATCACTCAGCCCTCTGTGAACAGTAAACAGCCATCAGTGTGCTAATGATCCTTTGTTAGGCTGATGGTCCTTCTTGAGCATGTGATCAGCTGGTTTTGGTTGTCAGCAGCAAAACTGGCTGATCCACTCTGAGAAGGTGCTATTTAAGAGACTGAGCTGAATACAGCACCTCAGACTGAGGAAGTCTCTTGGATGAGAGACGAAACGTTTCTACTTTTTTTTGCTTTGTTTTGTTTTTTGTTTTTTTGAATGTCCAGAGGACCAGATTGAACTTTCTTGGATTTTTCTACCTGGATTATTGAGCATGCCTCAGGAGATTATTGTACATTGCAGATATTTCCGATTATTACGCAGCATGCACATATTACAACTATCAGCACTGTGGGTGTGTTTTACAACTTCCCGATATAGGCAGACTAAATATGAGCTTATCAAAATGTTGTAGTCTAAATTAAAATAGCAAAAGTATAAAAGTGTTTTGTGTTGTCATCGTTGTGTGTTTCTATATGATGATGAAATTTGTGCTCTGAATTTAACGCATTACATGTGAGATATGCTCGGGTGGAGCAGCATGCAGCTATGTAAGTATTCAAGGAGCAGTTAAGGAATAGGTTTCTTGCTGAAGGACACCATGTAGGCATGGCAGGGAATCAAACGTGCAACTTTCACATTGACTGCCTTACCACTGCACCACAGCCTCCCCAAACTAATGAAATAATAAGGACTAAAAAAGTATAAACTGAAAACTAGTTTAAATAAATAAATAAATAAATAAAGTCTTGATTGACCTTTCAGGACATTAGGAACCAGGTGTTATTCTGTTACTAATGAAATGGTCAATCAGATTTGTAATATCAACAACAATTACAATTCTATACAATTACAATACAAGTCGTTCTTTTTGAAAAAGCAAGAAGCTCTGTTGTTTAAAGTGAGGATGAATTATATCTTTTTTCCTGCCAATATCAAATGTATCAGTTTTGTTAAACACATTTTGACCAAATAGAAACGTAGGTGCGAATTCTTTTCTATAGTAAAATTCAGACAGGACAGTATTTTTGTGATATTTCAATTATTAAATGTATCAATCTTCTTTTTTTTCTATGTGACAGTTTGAAATAAACTGAGGACTTCATCCGTTTTTAACAAGTTGGGCCGATGCTCTCCCAGCTTCAGCACTGAAATTAACCACTACGGGGCCAATTTTGACTCTACCATTTCTAGTGTTCCCTTCGTTGTTCAATGACGATGGCGTCCTTTTAAATATTTTACATTCCTTGAAACTGGAAATTTTCAAGACTTACGCTGGTGAAGATTCTCAGTCATCCAGGACATGATGAATTCAAAAAGCGTTCAATACAAAAACAACTGGACAAATAAAGTCCAGTTGTTTTTGTATTGAACGCTTTTTGATTCAAGACTTACAAACACAAGACAGACTGCCAATTTCACGAGCTCTGATTGTGTTGCTTTGCTAAGGGCTTTACATGTAGGGCTGCAAAATATTACAAAAACTTGCAAAGTGCAATATTATTGGTTGGACGTTGCAATGATAATATGAATTACAATGAACCAATATTTTCATCACTCCTCATTTTCTTTGTGACATCACTGTCATTTAAACCAACGGTGTGCATCAAGACCAGTGAAGGTCCAATGGATTAAACAAATAATGTATTAGCATGCAGAACATGAACGCATGGCACTTGAAATATCATGGCTCGTGAGTTATTGTAGTGCAAGCAGTTCTTTGCAATATTGACATCGTGCACACTGACATTGCTATAACACTTTTTCAATACATTGTGCAGCCATACCTGCAAGGGGTAGGAATCAACACAGTGAGGCATCAAAATAGACCAATAATGTGTCACTTTGATTATGGAAAACAAAACTGCTCATTGTAAAATGTCAACCTGCTGCATTAAGATTAGGTGCAGATTTGACCTCATGCCTAAGTATTATATGGTGCTGAGAAAAAGAGAACAGGTTAAAACAGCTTAAAGACAGCTTTGTAGAAGTTCCAATTCCCTCCTCAGGTGTAAAATAGTTTAAAAAGCAACAAATACATCAAATGCAAAAACCTGACTGAGTGCATGCTGACGTCTTACAGGAAAACATTCTGTTCAAGGACAGCAGGACCTCATCTACAGAAGCAATATGCTAAACGGCGAAAATCTCCTTACCGTCTCAGGAGCTATGAAAAGGTGAGACTTTAACAACACCCAGGCCACTTTTGGGGAAAACATTAAATCAGACAGAAAGGTGTGGAAAAGTGAATTACCTTTGCGTGTGGCTGCTGAAAGGTGACTCTGGAGCTGTTGATGAGCGATGAGTATCTGAACAAGTGGGTGGGGGAGGTGGGGAATCGGTGGCTGCTGGGCTGGTTGTGAAGGACAGCTGAAAAGCAGATGTGAACTGTGTCCTTCAGCGCCTTCAGCTGAGACTCCTGTCCCCAGAAAAGATTACACACAGATGGTTTCAGAATCCCTCCATCTCTCCCTCTATCCACATGAAAAATGTACTTAAGCAATAAAGCCAGACTAGGTCATACTTTGGAGTGACTGCAAAACCCCTAGAAGGCATTGTTAGGAAAGACATGAAACCAGACTCACCAGTAATAAAAAAACGAAGATGACCAGAAATAATCACCTTCTTGTGATCAATAGTAACAGACAGAATTATTAGTGTCATTATTTTCCAACAGCCCCCGATGTCAATACTCTTGAGACGATCACTGAAATTACCTGTTTCCTCATCAATTTTTCCCTTCCTTGGGATGTTAACTCATCTAACTGACTGATGCAAACACTGTCACAATCTGCATCTACAGTACGAAGAATGTATGTCACAAATTAAAGCTGGATGTTTTCTACTGAAGGAGCTGAAGCTGGAGTTGGTGAAAACACACCCTTATTAATGGGGAAAAATGCAACAATAACGGTGTTTTACTGATGTGTAAATTTTTAACACCTCTGCTCAAACTCTTCTCTCCCAAACAGCTGTTTATTCTGCCACACATGATTTATCTGCTCATAAACTATAAAATGGTGCTTCTCGGCTTCCAGAAGGCAGGGTTTAAACAAATCAGCATGGCAAGTTTAAACACACTGTGCAAGTACCAAAATACTGGAGACTTGTAACACACAACGAGAAAAAAAAAATCATTTAGTCACCTTATCGAGTGCCGTCTTCTCCAATTCCTCCTTGGCTACAGTTAGCTTGTGCTCCAAGTCCAGAAGCTGTTGTCCCTAAAAATAAAATAAAAATATTTTTAATTAATCTTACTATCATCTTTCAAAACAAACTATTGCCTCAGCCTAAGCTCATGTGTCCAACACAATCTACAAAATAATGTACTACACAGGAAGCTGAAAAGCTATGACATCTTAAATGGGGAGTGGTGGCGCAAGAGGTTAGAAGATGGGTCTGGGATTGAAAAGTTGCAGGTTCAACTCCTGGTACCGTCAACATCAAAATGTGGGTGGAAAAGGTGGAACACCCACACCTGCCTCCACCCTCATTCGCCCCACTCTGGGCCCCTGAGCAAGGCTCTTAACCCCACCATCTGCTCCCTAAACAGGTCTCTCTAGAAAATGAGTTATCGTGGCTCAATGAGACTACCTGGATAAATAAAGGGTATATATATATATATATATATAGATCTAGAAAAATAATGTCTGAGAGACCATGACATTTTATGTCATAAGCTCTCAGACATTAATTTCTCAGATCATACTGTAAGTTGGTTCTCTAAATATCTATCAGATCGGCGGCAATGTGTTCAACACAATGGTACTTCTTCCAGTTATTTAACTGTCAACAATGGTGTACCACAAGGCTCAGGCTTAGGACCCACTCTCTTTACAATCTACAATAAGTAATGTAAGTCAGAGCAATCCTGATGCAGCCTTACATTTCTATGCCAAATAGACAGTTGTTTACCGTCGAGTTAAATCAGTTGCTAAGGTTTTTCAGTTTTTACAGTCTGCATTCGACATTGTCCATTCAGGCTTGTTCCATCTCAGACTGGTGCTAAATGCTGACAAAACCAAAGGGAGGCTGTTTTCAAACAAGAAGGCGGTACCAGCAGTCTTTCCTTCAATCTGATCTACGAATGGTGTTACTATTGAGCTTGCTGATTCTTATAAATCCTTGGGAATCTTTGTCGATTTTTAAACCTCATGCCAAAAACTTGATAGAGAAATTGAAAGTAATTTTTTTTTTTGTTTTGTTTTTTTGTCAGAAATAGATCTTGTTTAACTCTAAATATTGGAAACACCTTGTTACTGTGACTTTCCTTCCCTCCATTGACTAGTGTGACATTATTTACATGAACGCTCCTACAAGCACCCTGCAGTTGTTGGACGCTGCCTAACATGGAGCACTAAGATTCATAGGCTGTAACTACCATACTCATCATTGCACCCTGTGTTCACTGGTTAACTGGTCATCATTAACGTCACGCAGACTTTTGCACTGGTACATTTTCATCTTTAAATTGCTCGTTGGTCTGTTACCTTCGTACATCTCCTCTTACATGTCACTTTGTCAGTGCAGCTACAGCGTGCGCTCTCAGGACATCATTACCTGCAACGTCCCCTAAGTGCGGATTTAATTAATCAAAAGGGCCTTCTCCTACTCTGATCCTGTAACCTGGAACACCTTGAAAAAACATCTTAAGCTCTCGACTTTGACCTCTCTAAGGGATTTTAAACAACCGTTAAGTTCAATGCAAAAACCCAATATAGACATGTTCCTATTTTTTGTATTTTACCCTTTTTCATATTGCACTTGTTTCTATTTAATTTTATATCACTATTTCTATTTACTTTTCATTTTATATGCTTTTATTGACTGTTTATTGTTGTGTGAACCACATCTGTGTTCTTTGTTTAAAACAGGTCTCTCTTTAAAATGAGTACTCGTGCCTAAATGAGACTACCTGTATACATAAAGGTTGAATGAAAATTGCTTCTATACTATTGCTGCATTAAGTGCAGTTCTCCTTTGTAAAACTCACGTTATTACAGCAGCAAACAAAGACCTGGTGCTGCTTAAATCACATGCAGTTCAAGCCTGAAGCACCCAGATAAGTCACTATGATATTTACGTTTAAACAAACAGACATAATCCTGATAATTACGAGCTTGACTTCTACCTTTAAGTGTTCAGTGATGCCTTTGGTCTTTTTCATGTATTTCAGAAGGTCTAAATAACTAGATAAGCAAGTTTCTTTAAAACCTAAAGACTAAAAGATAACATCTGCCCTTTCCACAGAGGGAAGTAAAATCTCAACACTTCTGAGAACAGACACGATGAAAAACTAACCCCTCCCTTAATGATCATTATTTCTCAAGTGTAGTCCCTGAACTGAAGGGCAAACACAGAAGGGCCGTTTTTGGTAGATGAGCTAATATATCTTCATCAATGAGGATCAACATAACTCCCTCCGAGGAGTCTTTTCTTATTGATAAACTCATCAGCAAGGAAGGAGGAAAAATACTCATTTTGAGATCATTTGCATGCAGTATGTGTTTAACTGTCCTTGTAGTGGACGTTCAACCATGAACTTTTATCGAGCGTCATTTACTGGTCTTTCAACAAGATAAACTGCACAGGTTCACATTCTGAAGAATTCAAGGTCAGGCGACACAACACACACCGAACACAATCCGTGCAAACTGTGGGGGACGTTGTGATGATGACCCTCGTTGATTTCCCCCCTACACTTTTTTATTGTTTTGTTTTGATTAACTTTTTGTGAGTGAATTTTATAGAGTTCAGTTTTGACGTATTTGGAACATGTGGTGGTGGTGGTGGGGGGTGTGGGGGGGTCTCGGCTCAGAGTCAGAGGCATATGGGGAGTGGTAACGCTAAGGTTAGACAAGATGGGCCTGTGATTGAAAAGTCGCAGGTTCAACTCCCAGTACCGTCAACATCGTAATGTGGGAGGAAAAGGTGAAACACCCACACCAGCCTCCACCCTCATTTGCACCACTCTGGGCCATTGAGCAAGGCCCTTAACCCCCACTATCGGCTCCCAAAAACAGGTCTCTCTTGAAAACGAGTCCTCATGACTCAGTGAGACTACCTGTATAAATAAAGGGTAAATGAAAATTTAAAAAAAGCACCTTCCAATCAGAGGGTCGGTTGTCCAATCCCCAGCTTCTGTGGTCTATAGTGCACCCTGCTCCTCAGTGCCCACGGATAAGCTTATTGGTGAATGAGTGAAAATATACAAGTGTTATAGTAGTGGGCTAACTATAAAACAGAATGCACTATATGAAAGGGAACCTAGAGGTGCAATGGACTTTTTATTTGGCACGTTCATCTTCTTAGAAATTTTTTTTTGGCATCTATTTTTATTTTATTTATTTTATACACATGCATTACTTCCTTCTGAGATAGTTGAAATTATTGCTATTATCATTGCTGTTGTTAGTATGGACAGTAACAATAATAAACTATAACATAGGCATTTGTTTCAGCTTGACTTAATGAAAGTAGATTAGGACACTTGGCATCCTTTGTTACAGTTAGCGAGACAACGAAAATACATGAATCACGTTTTTAGAAGCAGTTCTTTAAAAGTTGGCACAACGTTTTTTATAACAACAAATTAAATTTCACCTATATGTAGTATATTTTAAACACAAGGGAAAAAAAGGTTACAAAGTAGTAATAAATAAATTAACAAACTGAATGTGTTGATTTAGATATTTTAGGTACTGAAATATGTTATCAGTCTCACAGTTAACTCAGATCGGATCAGTTCAGATAACATTAATCAGAACACTGCTCACATTTTGCTGAGCTGTGCAACAAAGTACATGTTTATGCTCGAGGTCAAAAAGAAATTCTGCACATTTACCTCCACTGCTGAGTTTACTAAGGAGTAGATCTTTTGAATAATCATTTTTCCCCAGGCACACAGAAAGAAAATGCTGCCCACAGCTAGTTTGTTTTCTGAAGGATGTGAACACGCTCTTTGTGTATGTGCTGCAGAGCCATTACTTCTCTTACACAGCGCGTCATCAGCAGAGAGTCCTTTAAGGACCGAGCGTGCTCGGACACTGACCCAGAAACGCTGACTTTCAGGGTTAGTGCCTCCAAGTCCAATACTTCATATTTCTGTGCTGAAGCCATTTGAAAGGTATGGGGTCAGTGGGGCGCTGGGCACTTGGCTAAACGAGACATGCAACTACATCCAGCCGTCATTTTCCCTTATCCTCTTTTTTTCCATTATTTTTTTTTCAATACTTGAGAAACTGCTCTAGGGGTAAATTTAAAAGTGGACTGATGGGACGGAGAAGATATAAAAGCCTGAAAACAACTCTTTTTACAAAAATACTTGCATAGGGAAATGCAGCAAAGACTCTTTTAACATTTTAATGTTCTTCCATTTAGTTGTGTTTAGCTCTAGGATGGATGCTTAATTTAAATTCTGAGTTAGTTCTCCTTTTTTTTTTGTAAAAAGGGAAAACTTATAGTCTGAAAATAAAATCTGATAAAGTTGTTTTTTCTCCAGAATACTGCACATCCTGATTTAGATTTTTTTTTTTTAATTTATTTATATTCACACTTTGGTTATTTTTGAACTCATGCAGTAACATATAGGAAAAAATGTATGAAGGCAACAGATCAAGAAGTGATTTAAATATAAAAATGTACCAGTGAGAGTGTCTGTATGAAGTTAATGATGACCAGTTAACCAGTGAATACAGGGTGCAATGATGGGTACGATAGTTGTAGCCATTTATGAATCTTATCGCACCGTGATAGACAGGATCCAACATCTGCATGGAGCTTGTAGGAGCGTTCATGTAAATAATGTCACTGTAATCAATGAAGGGAAGGAAAGTCACAGTTACAAGGCGTTTCCTAGCATTCAGAGTAAGACAGGATCTATTTCTGATAAAGAAACCCAGTTTAATTTTCAATCTCTTTACTAGGTTTTCCACATGGATCTTAAAAGAGAGATGTGAATCGACCAAGCTACACAAATATTTATAGGAATCGACAAACTCAATAGGGACACCATTTGAGGATAACATCAGAGGAAGAGCTGCTGGGACTGACTTCCTGTTTGAAAAAAAGTATCCCTTTGGTTTATCAGCATTTAGGACAAGTTTGAGATGGAGCAAGTTTATCTGAATGATGTCAAAGGTGGATTACAAAAGCTGGAAAACCTTAGCAACTGTTTTAGCTTGACAATAAACAACTGGATCATCAGCATAGAAATGTAAGGATGCATCAGGGATGATCTGACCTATATTACGTACGGTATGTAGATTGTAAAGAGGGTGATTCCTAAGACTGAGCCTTGTGGTACACCATTGTTAACTGTTGAATAACTGGAGGAAATACCATTATGTTGAACACATTGCCTCTGATCTGAAAGATAGTTAAAGAACCAACCAATGGTGTGTTCTGAGAAACCAATTTCTGAGAGCTTATGACACAAGATGTCCACAGTGTCAAAAACTTTCGACATATCTGAGAAAAGTGCAGCACAATAATCCTTAGCTGTACTTTTGCCCCACTCTGGGCCCTTGAGCAAGGCCCTTAAACCCCAACCCATGGACACCCTAGTTGGCAGCTTCCTGCTCCACACAGAGGGCTGTGGTAGCTCAGTGGTCTGTGGTTGCATCAGGAAGGGCATCCAGCATAACAAAAATAAAAAAATCCAAGTCTTTGTTTGAGATAGTTTGCTGTGGCAACCCCTGAAGAAGGGAGCAGCCGAAAAAAGAAGAAAGAAGAAGGTTATTTCTCCCTCAAGGCCACAGCTATTGTTTCTAAGAATTAATGACTCCTTATTTAAAGCAAAAGGTTTTGCAGATTTTTATTTTATCCTGCTTTATCTGGCCTGTGATAAGGATGCTTCCATGTTCTGTGATATTGAGCTGAAAAATGCCCTTTGATAAGGTACAACAGCTGTCATAACCAATCCAGCCCCCCTACTGGTCAAGAAGCCCTGACTGACATCCCCCCTGTGTTGCTGATGACATTTAGGTGTCTTGAGTTACTCTTTCCTGCTTTATGCTCCCTCTTCCCCTGCTGGGTGTTTGATCACAGCACATGTGAAATACAGACGAGTTTTCAGAAACTGCAAGTGGAATCGAGGTCAGAGGATTTGTGATTCATTTCCCTCTGACCTTTTTACTTAGAAAACTTGATATTAGTTACTGCATCAGTCAAGGATGACTGTTTGTACACACACTCACACACACACAACCCCAAATTAGTCTCATTCTTCTGTGGCTACAAATCACCTAAGACCTCATTGTAAAGGTGCACATAAATTTTTTGGGGTTGACATTGAGCTATAAAATTGTTTCATGTGACCGACTGATGCAATTTCGAGACAAGGATTTATGAGAGGCGACATCAAGCAAACAAGTCAATACATTTATCATTCATAGACTAAAAACGGAGTAAAGAAAAGGACATTCAGGGACAATAAATTCAGCAGACGAGGTAAAACATAAAACAATGCATGCGGTTTGAGTCCTTTTTTAAAGATTTTTTTTTTATCTGCCACAAATTCAGAAATGATACCCTTAAATCTTCAAAATGTACATTTATGAAACCACATTACAAGGCATTGTTGTAGGCATGCAGCCTGACATTTTAACAGTGCAAACAAGGCCTGAAAGGTCAGCACTTGTACCAGTGAATGCCAATAAATATTACGTGCTCACTCATATCCAGGAGCATTTAGTCCTTGCAATGCAGAAGGCAGTGGAGTATGTGCAGATGGCCTGTGGTTTTTTATTTACCGCCGGTTATGTTGTGCTTGCAGAGGGAGTATGTGAACAAGAGACACATTTCTGATGCCCTGTAAGTGCCACCCACAGAAATGTACGTAGCATTACACAGTGTCATAAGTAATTTGTGTCTTGAAGAGTCCCTCAAAGGATCTAGCAAATAATTCTGTATCAAGTTTATCCACTGCTGTCCACATTATTCATCCACAAACTTCTCTTGATAGAAAAGGATGGGCTGCATCCCGCACAGGAGGAAAATCATGGGGCAAGACATGGCAATTCATGGTTTAACAATGTTCAATTGACTTTTGTAGGCTGCTGTCTTGCTGGAGGCGACTTCGTAATTGCAGGCTGAATTAATTGGAACACCCTCTGTGATGGAATCCTCCTTTCAAGGTGGCCAGGAGTAGCTGCTTACCACTGCTCTTAAGACACAATAAAGCCACCCACCTTCTGTTTGTGCTTACCTTAAAAATTAAATCCTTTTTCCCGTACCGCAGTTCTTTCAGTTGAGCCTGGATTTTTTTGGACTGCAAGAGAAAGATAAGGAAATAAGTGTTAGCTTATTCAAATAGCAAAATTGGTTTTAGATCGTGTAGCGGGATTCTGCCAGCTGCAGCTGGAGACTCCTTTGTGAGTGTTCCCTGCGCCAAGCTCGGGCTTAAAGGAAGGCCCTACTGAGAGGAAGAAAATATCACATCTACCCTTCACTGAACTGCATAGTCCACACAATGATGCAGTCTTGCACTGGCTTCTTACCCACTGTCTAAGCTTGAATTCTCACTCCCACCACACGCATGCAGGTTGTCAGACTGCTACTAGCTCTGGACCATCGATGGTTATCGGCACGCACACACAGAGAACAGTTCTCTGCCAGCTAGTGACCAGCACTGATGATTCTGCTGCTCTACATCGGCCGGCACGTCCAACCCTGAGGTTGCCTCCTTGATAGCTTGATACACAGCTATTCACAAAGCTGCTAATGATGTGAGCATAAACACTGAGAGCCTCCATATGGATGCCAGCAATGTCTCAGCGGGTCTTGTTGATTTATAACTGGAAGACATTTGTGGAGTTCTTGACTTCATGCACTGTAAAACCTTACAGAAGAGGAGTAACATAATATGTGCCTTGGCTCAACAAAACCCCAGAGAAGCTGAAACTAAAATTAAACAATTATAAAATTAAAATGAAAAGAATTTAGAAGTATGTTTTATTCTCTATACAGTACATCAAAAAGTGCATAGTGTGCAATGCAGTATGTTTTTTTTTTACGACTGTCTGTCTGTCTGTCTGTCTGTCTGTCTGTCTCTATCTATCTATCTATCTATCTATCTATCTATCTATCTATCTATCTATATATCTATCTATCTATCTATTTTTGTTTTTATCTGGATTTTAAAAGGGTTCCCAGAGCTTATCATGGGAAATATGCTTAAATAAACAAAGTACAAAATTTCAAAAATATCCATACACAAAGAGCAAACAGTATTTAATTTTTAATGTTTAAGAGTTCTTCATTGTCATCAAATAAAATGTAAAATAATTTTCTTTTAACTGGAGCCTTTCACTTAATAGAACAGCCTATGCCCCAAGGGGAGCCATGTTTGAGTGTTCATCTTTTAAACTAAAGATCTGATATTAAGCTTCTTGATTTTTAAAAAATAATCCTACATTCAGAATTAATCAAACCATCACTTCCAGTTTAAAAAAACAATTGTAGCGTTTTTTTTTTTCTTTTTTCAGATGAGCCACTTCCTGAATGGATGGGTTATTCAAACTGCTAAACAAAACAAAACAAAAACAAACAAACAAACAAACAAAAAACACTCAAAACTAAACTACACTTTAATTTAAGACTTAACAATATACAATGAGTGTATTTTACAAGCTTGCTGCACTTCAGTATCTCGCCCAAACTTTTTCAGAGTTGAAATGTATCATTGTGAGGCATCATCTTTGTGAGAAGGATGACAGATCTGTAGTATTTCAGCATCATGGTCCAAGGACAGACACGAGCCAAACACACGATGAGTTTACCAAAACAGCTTTGAGTAATATTTTACTTTAGGTTGTCTTTTGCAATGTATTTACTCTTCTCTGGTCACTGTCGGATTAACTCAAGGTCACTGGTTTTTGTGTATCTTAGGTTTGAAAAGTGCTCAGTGAATCTGGGGACAGGACAACAAACAATAAACATGAGACACGGTTTGTATGTTAAAGACATATCAGTTGTGTTAGCAAACATTCAAGTGAGAATCCGACTGGAATCCTTTTGTTCTGCCACTGTGCACAGCTGTACCATTCTTGTATCACTCTTCAAACCTGGTAATAAAATGTCTTCTGATGTCTGATGTGTATTTATCTTTGTAATAAATGAACAGGAATAAAGAACCGTAGGGACTTCCTCTTACCAGAATGCTACAGTGATGTAAGTTCTTAATATTCTTTACAAACTCGAGGCACTTCAGTGTCTCCATGTCAGGCGGGGCACAGCTACCCCCTAATAAAGTGAGCTTCTTCCATCCAGATGTGCTCTTTTCTAAAAAAAAAAAAAAACTATTTTGGGGAAGGCTTGTTTGTTTTTCTTTAAACACTGACTGAAAAAAGATCAAGTTTTATATAGAAGAAAAAAATATATATATATCTAAAGCGCAATCTCCCAGAATCTTTGTAGCTTGTCAGCATGTATTTTAGTAAACTCCAGCAGGGCTCTTTTATGCTCCTCTTTCAAAACGGGGGTCTTGCTGGGTCTTCTTCCTTGGAGCCCACTTTTGTTCAGACAGCACTGACAATGTTGCTCCTTGATCTCAGAGTTCTGCTCATGTCTTGTTTAGAAATTGTGCTTACGTGTTGCTTTTGCCGTAAACTATCCTCTTGTTTGATCTGGGGTCAGCTTTTCTCTTGTCTAAGCAGGTTGCCAACGATATTTATTTGACATATACCGGTATACAACTCCTATATGTTTTTTTCAGGGTCACTTACTGGGTTAGGGTGCTGAGGAGGATGCCTGGTGCTCAAAAAGAAAAAGAGTAAAAGCAACATCCACGTTTTTGAAAGGATGTGGGTGTTTCCAGTAGAATATTAAGAATACCTTAATAAGGTTAACTGGTTTGTTCCACTTTGGAGTAAGCTGTTGTGGGAATGTTCAGTTTTGTGTTGTGTGTTTCCTTGACTGATGAAGCCTTCTGGATGGAAGGTGAAACATTTCAGCACAAAAAAAAGAAGCTGTCCAGATGACCTGACTGAAAATTGATGGATATTAAGAATACCAGTAAATTAAGGACTGCCATCGTTGTTCCCTGTCGTGGAATGAAAAGGGGGAATTGGAAATATGTCCATCTGTCCATGCATGTTGTGAGCGTGATAATTTGAGTTATGTGTAAAATGAGGTACCAACTTCCATTATGGTGTGTGTGTGCACATCTAGACGAAAGAAAGATTCCTTTAGAAAAATTGGGTTGCCACACCAAAACCCAAGATGACCACCATCATATTTAGTTGTAAACAGGCATCCCCGATCATTTGTGGAAACTATGCTTTCTAGTTTTTATGTTGCTTAAAAGTATAGATTCCTCAAATGATTGCTGTTGCCAGAGGGGTGGCTGAAGGATCATTTATGGTGGCCAAAGCCACCACTGGCCACACCCTGACTCTGCCATTGCATCTGATGGTGAATAAAATCACTCCCTTCGCTTGTCAGGATTTGTCACTCTGTGCCACCTCAGACCCCCCCCCCACACACACACACACAAAAAGACCTCTTCTTACAGTGCAGCTCCTGACCACTTGAATATCTTGCAACAAAAACATTGAGGTTTACTTGCATGCTTAATTCGTGTCCAGAAAAACACTCATCTCAAAAACTACAAATGTTCACTTGTCAAGATCTAAGTCAAATCCTTTAGCGACAGGACGACGCGCCACGTCTCTCTTTTTATTTATCACTCGCTCTCTTTTTCTGTTTGCTTTTGATGATTTTCAGGCTCTAGTGGTCATTATTTTGAAAGTGGCTTGGTTAGGATGTGAGCACAGAAAAAAAAAAAACATGATGACCTGCATTACGTGGCTACAGGTTGTGATTCAAACAAAAGCTGGGCATTACAAAAAAAAAAAGATTTTGTTCTCTTTACTTCTAATGGAATGCTGCAGTCAGCCCGTGGTTGAGCCACTAAGCATTGAGCTGTAACAAAGTTAAGACTCAATCTCATTTACATGCCAGTAAAATTTTAAGACTCATGACAAATGGGTATTTTTGCAGCTGTTTTTTTAACAGTTGGAGACTGTGTCCCCTACAAATTAATTACATTTTATTGGCTCAATGAACATAATTATGTTGTGAGGGAAATGCGAAATTGAGGAATAATAAAGGTTTACTACAGTGGGTTATTTTAAAACATTCTATATAAGTTATTAATATAAAATATAATCTAGACCTGCATTAGGGTATCTGTAAACAACACGTTTCTCTTACAATGTACAAACATATTAATTCACTGACTTATTTATACACGTTACCCTCAATTTGTGCTTATTTCTTGTTAACTAGTTTTGTGTTGTGTCAAAAATGACCTTTAGAATAGTCTGATATTTCATATATCACCCATTATTGCTTTATTAGATGCTCCTATGAAATTATTTTCTTACGAAAAGCACAATTTTATTTTATGTTTTTTTTTTTTTATGGCCTGATTTATGTACTCAGATAATAAACTTGTTTTTGAGTTTAAAAAAATGAAGCATAATATGCAATATGGATGACTTTGACTAACAGTTTCACAAATTAAATATGTGCTATTTATCATAGATTACCAGATGTTGAACTGTATCAAAGGTGTTTGGTTTAAGACAATTTCAATGTTTTTGAAGAATTGGTACAAAAAACATGATTTTGGGTTCTTATGAGAAATGACCGACATGATTTTGTTAGTGAAAAGAAAACAGAGGGCCAGGATGTAGATAAAAATTGAACAGCATAACAGAAACAAGATATTGTCCATTTTTTGATGGAACAAAACATCAGCCTCTGTACAGTATGACCCTTTTTCTTGTCAGGCTTGAATTATTTCTGTGTTGCTTTTAACGTTTGACACTTCTTCTTCTATGGCTTCTTTCACATCAGGTTTCTGGACCCACTCTTCATCACAATCCAAAATATATGGCCTTCTTAAAATTATATAATTTGCTGGGTGAGAATGAATTGCAAGCAAGTCCTCAAAAACCCTTTGCGCACCAAAGCTGAGAGAAAAGTTTTATATTTTGCACAATTGTTTGCGAGGACGTCAACATGTGTAGTTCCTGTGGGGGAACATTCTGCTGGGGACAGATTCTTGTGGGTGTTGCCATGGAAGCCGAAAAAGATGAGTGGTGTGTGTATGTGTGTGTTTACTCCAAAAACTGCCTTTGAGGATGCAAGAAAGGAACAATGTCCATCTGCTGAAGGTAAAGTTGCACATCTAACATCTCAAACACTGATCTAATGATCAGTCATGCATGATGTAATAACAAAACACATTAAACTAAATTAAAG